GCCTAGGACTTGCCGATCAGAAGGTCGGCGGTTCGAATCCCCTCGACGGGGTGAGCTCCCGTTGCTCGGTCCCTGCTCCTGCCAACCTAGCAGTTCGAAAGCATGGCAAAGTGCAAGTAGATAAATAGGTACCGCTCCAGCAGGAAGGATAAACGGTGTTTCCGTGCGCTGCTCTGGTTCGCCAGAAGCGGCTTAGTCATGCTGGCCACATGACCCGGAAGCTGTACGCTGGCTCCCTTGGCCAATAAAGTGAGATGAGCACCGCAACCCCAGAGTCGGCCACGACTGGACCTAATGGTCAGGGGTCCCTTTACCTTTACTATGGTGTGGATGTGGCCATTGAGGCTAAATTGTAGATCATACCTGACAATGTTTCTCCAATTTTCCCCCTCTGTATCTGTATGGAGTTTCCAGGACTTGTAAGAGTTGCTGGAGCCACTCAGAAGTAGCATTAAAATAAGGAACATCCTGAATCCATGAGCTGCCTTTCAGACAGAAAAGCCCTCTTTCTGCACTGACTAATCACATGGAGATGACTGGGGATCAGAGACAACATTTAGATGCCCATAGGTTTGCCATCCATGCTACAGGGGAAAGGGTTTTAGGAAGGGCTTCAGACAGTGCTGCTCAAGAAAAAGTGGAAAAGTTGACAAGTGTCATCAAAAACCAGTTGCTCAGAAAATAATGGTTAAGGATACTCAGTTGGGTTCTTTGCAAGCTCTTTGATTTTAGGTTGTCTTTATTGCCCAGATGCTATTGCAAGTCAGATTCTAAGTCGGGGAGGCTCACCTGGTGCCTTTGTTGCATATCTTTAGGCACCAGGCAAAAACATTCCTCTTTGACCAATTAAAAAATTTATCACCTTTTAATCTGTGGGGGTGGGGGATATTGCTTTTATTTGTTACTGTGTTGTGTATTTTTGTGTTTTCATATTGTAAACTACCTTGTGATCCTCAGATGAACGGTGGCATCAAATTTTAACAGCAACAACAAATCACAGAATCTCACTGCTAAAAGCTAGGTGTATGTTTGTTTTCCATTCCAGCCTCACAGGTCTGATTTCTGCATATCAGCCTGATACGTGCTCTCTCACATTGCGAAGGATGAGAGACAAGTGAAATATTTTCACACAATTTGCTACAGCAAATCAGGCAAACATATGTCCCAGTCTCTACCACATTCCATTGTCTGTATCCCTTTGCTCCCATTTAGATTCCCCTTCCTGGTTTTCTCTGATGAAAGCTCCTGCCTGGTTAAAGTGGTACAAACCTTCTTCTCACTGTTCATACAGTCCCTATTTCTGGCCAATAGTTACCATTGCATCCACGCAGCTCTTCACCCAGACACCGTGATAACTTTCCCTGCCACTTTCTTTTCAGCAGAAATAAAACCAGGCATCTCCACTATCCTGAAACTCAGATGCATCATCTAGGGTGAAACGCTACGGCCATGCTGCTGAAGCTAAGACTCCCTGGACCTGGGCAATGCCTTGTTAAGAGTCTGCTTGGGTACCCCACGCACACCCACCCAACCCTTGTGTTGCATGTTGGAAGAAAGGGGAGTGAGAAATAAATACAGTCAAGGTTGCATACACACTACTTGTGGTACAAATATTGAGGTTAGAAAAGTGCAACCCCACACAAGTTAACATTTTGTTTTTAAAACTGATTTTATTATTTTATTTTTAAATGGTTTTAACATGCTCTGTAAACCTCAAGGCAAAGGGCAAGTAAGAAATCCAATTGACTAATTAACTAAGATGATGGTGATGATGATGATGATGATGATAAGGTGATGATGATGACGACAGTGATAAACACACACACACACACACCAATCAAGAGGAAAAATCACATGTGATATATAGAGGTCCTTGGACAACCAGGAAGAAACACACAATGAAATATGATGACAACTGGCACAGATGCCTCCCAAAGACAGGGGGAGGGGGGTAGAGAAGAATCTTCTTATGTTGAGAAACTATCAACTCCAGCCATAGATGCCAACACCCTAGGTGCCCGAGCACCCACAAAATTCCCCATGAAGGGGCCGGGCATGCACAAATTCCAGTGCCACGGCCATGCATGCTGCATGACACCCACAGCCCCAGGGCACCCACAGTCGCGGGGCCAAGCTGGCACACCTGACCCCAGATCATTATTCTTTTTACTAATTTTAGCACTTTCCCACAGAACAGGGCAATCCTAAGGACTGCTCAAGCAAACAGTTATTACATACATTGATCCAGAAGGTGCTAAAGTGCCTCTTCTTTTGCTGGACTTAATAGGAGATAATGAAGTTCAATATTTCACAAACCCAGGGCCAAGTTAGTTCATTATACTCCCAGAGGCACAAGTGTATTTTTAGCATCTCACTTATGTGAGATCAAGGTCCTGGGTCAAATACAGGGCTTACTGTAAGCAAATCCAACATAAATTGTTGCTCCAGTTGCATCTGCTATATGACCTTCACCTTCTAATAACACGGAAGGAGCCCAGCATTAAATGGTCCCATCTAGAGTGGTGGAAAGCGCATTTATTTTAATGGCACATTACTCCACCTACTCAGTTTCAGACACACAGGACAGAAAAGATCATACCCTTCAGTACAATTTATTCCTCTCCAATCTGACAAAAGGAAAATATGTATAAATAATAGTTGATTGTCTGCATGGTTTTTTTAAAAAAGCAAAAACTGAACAACAACTTAAATCATGCTAACTAGCAACATCCGAGTTTCTTCTTTGAACACATTCACATAGAGACAGTTGCTGAATAACTGCAGGGAGCAGAAGTACGCAGATTACAATTGCAATGCTTCGTATGCAGTGGAAGAACATCATCCAGAAAGCACAGCATCTCACGATGCTCTGAGACAAAGGGATATTCCTAGGAACAGCAGAAGGGTGTTGCTTTGCTTCTGTCTCTGCTGCAACTACGTAATACTGAAGCTGCCTTAAACTGAGACGACTGGTTCATATATATCAGTATTTTGAAAACTGACTGGCTGCAGCTCACCAGGATTTCAGGCAGGGGTCTTCCCCAGCCATACCAGGAGATGCGGGGACTCAATCTGAGACATATGAGCCATGTGTTCTACCACTAGACTGCTGAGCTGTTCCTGAGAAGCTGGGCATGCATGTGCTTATGTGTGTGAGTGTGCAGGATGGCCATTCTCACTGCCAGCTCTGGCCCCAATCTCTGCTGGCATGCAGTCATCAAAAGACTCCCCACCCCAAAACTGCGCTTGATGGTTTGACTTGGTATAAGGCAACCCCCCCTAATGCTCCATACCAGGAAGTCCCCAGCACCAGTCTTGTTCAGGAGCAATACTACAGGCTATGTAACATCTGGGTGTGCCAGTCTGATGCCTCCTACATAACAAGTGTAGTAAGCACATATATTCTAGCAATCCTCTAGTTGCCTGAGGCAGAGAGTTATGCTATGAGAAGGAAGGCAAATTAAAAGGGAACCTGTTGCCTTACACCAGTAAAAGTCTAGCCTGATCCCCTTCTTCGAATAAAGTCCACTATCCACATTAGCTTCCCAGTAAAGTGCTGTAGCCTTCCACTTGGTTCAAGTACAGTCCTCATTCTAAAGTCCCTTGTTACATCAAGAGCAGGTCTAGCCATCATTTCCTGCTCTGCCCTGGTGTCACAGAAGAATGTCCCATACAGAAGGGCCTCATAAAAAAGCCAAAGAGTTTTATATTAATTGAATTAATACAACATTCTAGGCAGTCTAGCAACCCCTGACCTAGATTTTCTGTACAATACTGGCAGGTAATGTCGACGGGGTCTTATCAGCAAATCTGAAAGCGCACCTTGCCTCTACTGCACAAATTGCTTTTTCTAATAGTGCACGGCCGAGCTGGCGACAATTGCTAATCATCCAGATGGGAGTTTGGCCGTTTACATGCTCAGAATGCTGAGGCTGGACAAGCAGCTCAGGAGAGGAGGAAGAACTGGACTTGGAATCAGAAGCTGCCAAGCAGCTGTTCAGGGTGCCGGCTGTGGGTGCCTGCCATTATCTGGATGCTGCACCAGGCTGTTCGCTCCATCTGGTGAACCTGGCAAGTTTATTTTTGTACTTCCAAGTTTGTTCAAATCAACTCTTCCATTTAAAACTAATGGGAGCACTGGGCTGAAACAAACACAATCTGTGCAACAAAAGGAGTTGGGAATGATAAACGAGGAGAGGGCTTTTTGGGGGGAGGGGGGCCTCCCGGAAACCTATTGGAGGCTTGCAGCTTCCTCAGGGATGCCAAAAGGGAGCATCACAACAATAAAAGCAAACAGCAAAAAGGAAGCTTGCCTCGTGCTAAGGGGTTGTTGATGAGGCATGTCACCCATTAGGGAGAGGAAGAGGGTAGCAACATTGCAACAATGTGCAACAAGGGAGGCAGGAACAGCATTACTTTGGTGATAATAGGTAGCATCTTTGCTTGCCCTTGATTAGCCTTCTTTTCACATGACCTCACTTGACCTAGTCATTGCCTGGCCTACCCGAACCCTGCTCTTTGCAGTCCTCATATTTTACTCTGCCTCTACTTCTCGGAAGGACACTTTCTTCCCCCAGTAACACTTCCTCCATGATGTCTGCCAAGCATCTGGCTATATAGAACATGCAGTCTTTATCCAGAATTTATCAAACAGCAAGACTTTGCCCTCCTGCTCTGTTTCTTCCCACTTGTTTGATTTCTGTACATACCCTCTTCCCTCGCCACTTCATCTCCAAGTCCAGGGTGATTGATGGACCAGACTGATGGCAATAAGGGACTAGAAGTAAGGGAATGTTCATTTCTTTCAGCTAACCCAGAGGAATAATGGCCAGAAATCCTGAGCATTGACTAGAAATAGGCCTGAACAATAAGACATACAACATTATTTGCACTTCTTCTGAGTTGGTGCTGCATGCAACCGGAGGGGGGGGGAGGGAAGGGGTTTGTGCCTGTCTACTTTGAGAAACCATACATTAATATTTATTTGCATCCTTCACTGAAGGGCTGTAGTTCAGTAGTAGAGCATCTGCTTTGCATGCAGAAGAACCCAGGTCCAATCCTCAGCACCTCCAGGTTGGACTCAGACCGACCCATTTGAAACCCTGGAGAGTTTTCGCCGGTCGGTGCAGATAATACTGAGAAAGGGGGACCGACGGCATGACCCGGTCATACTGCATTGCTATATATCCTATTTTGCACAAAACTGCAGCAGGAGAAAACTTTCATCAAGCAGCAGGATTCTGCATGTGTTGGGGAAGGTGGCAAATCAGAATAATTTCTGGTGACTCAGTGCTGACAAAACAGTTTGCATTTATCTTAACTAGCTTTAGTGTACACGAGAAACCTAAGATGAATTGCAGATTCCCTTCTACCATACCATGCACAAAGCAAGCTGATAAGATGAGGGAGGGAACCTGTTTACCAGTTTGTTTCCAAATTCAATTCAGGGTGTGATTTCTCTTTTTAAAGCTCTAAATCTGGGGTGCCCAACTTGGTGCCATCTGACACCCTTTAACACCTTCTGAGATGCCCTGCCATTCCCAGGTTTTTCAATGAATGGTGTGTTTTTATTTTGGGGGGAGTTGCTTGGTTTGCCTATTGTTTGGGAGCACTGGTGGCTTTGGGGGGGGTCTATGTTGTGTTTATTTTCTTTTTGGTATTGTGTAATTGGTTTTTTTTGGGGGGTGTACTCTGAGCATTGCTAGCTTTTCTTCTGTGAAATGAGGTATCTTGTAGTGCCCATGATAGATTTCCAAAGGTGCACATGAGCACAAAAAGTTTGGGGGCCTGTCCCTAAACAGGCTGGAGACTGGATATCCCAAATAAGTTTCCATAAAGATTTGCTGGTGAGATCATGCTTGCAAGACAGACAGACTGGGTTGCATGAGGAGCACAATATTTCCAGAGCTCTAGAGATCCCAGGCTTATTCACTGGCATCTCCAGGCAGGGTTGAGAGAGCCACTGCCAGTGAGTACAGACAATATTGAACTAATGATCTGACATCCTGTAACACAGTCGACAAAAAGCAGCTTCCTGTGTTCCTAAGGATAGGTTAGAAAAGCCTTCACATGCTTTCTGAATGCAAGTAAAGGTGGGCAACTGCCTGATTTCCCCTGGGAGGAAGTTCCACAGCTGAGGTGCCACCACCAAGAATGTCCTGTGGTGGGACATCATATTTGTTAGGGACTTAATGCATAAGCCATTCAATAGTATCTCCACATCACTACCTGCCACTGCCAGGGATGTTTGGTGATGATATGTGTAGACATTTACACAGCTGGGCAGTCACATGGTAAGCCCAGCACAAAAGTTATGCGCCAACATGCAGGGAATTGCTTCTAAAATGTGGGGGTAGGGGTTGGGGGAGTTTCCATATGTGTATTATGCAGGAAAGGCCGTACATTTTTATTTTAGTGTTGGTGCTGACCTTTAAAGCCCTGAACGGCCTCGGTCCTGTATACCTGAAGGAGCGTCTCCACCCCCATCGTTCAGCCTGGACACTGAGATCCAGCACCAAGGGATTGCGAGAAGTGAGGTTACAGGAAACCAGACAGAGGGCCTTCTCGGTAGTGGCGCCCGCCCTGTGGAACGCCCTCCCTTCAGATGTGAAAGAAATAAGCAGCTATCTTCTTTTTAAAAGGCATCTGAAGGCAGCCCTGTTTAGGGAAGTTTTTAATATTTAATGCTGTGTTGTTTTTAACACTTGATTGGAAGCCGCCCAGAGTGGCTGGGGAAACTCAGCCAGATGGGTGGGGTATAAATAAATTATTATTATTATTATTATTATTATTATTATTATTATTATTATTGGCTGTATCGAGTGCATGTTATTGCTGCAACAGGCTCCAATGAATGAGGGACATAAGCGGAAATATTTTAATGATCAGCATTAATTGATGTGAATCTGTTGGGTTGTTGTTGTTTTTTTAAAAAAGAACAAACAAACCTCTATCCATGCATAAAATAAACCAGATGGGAAAGGCAGGTAAGGCAAGAACTGAGCTTCAGCTGCTGGTTCTTCCTGCCGCTAATGAAATGAGTTATGCCAGTGGCATTGCCTCAATCTTGAATACGCAGGATGCTAAGATAATATTTACCTTTTTACTATGGAATTTTCACAACATGGTCTGTTTGTGTTTTGGGCTCTCATGGCCCTTCAGCTCTGCATCCTGCCATGGTTTGGATCCTGCCTGTGACTCTGGGGTGGGGGGGTTGCCCCAGTGACAGTTTTAGAATGTGGATCTGTTTGCCATTGTGGGCTCCTTTGGGAGGAAGTAGGTGGGGTATAAATTCAACAATGAATAATATTTCATTTCTGCTATGCCACCTTTGGAATGTGAATGTCTCCTATGAGCATTAGTATCTAAGTAATGGCAAAATGCCCTGCAAGAGAGTCCATGCAAGGATCAAATTGGCTTGCTACCTTCCAACCAGTCTTGCGTGGATTGAGTTGAGAATACTTGGGTTCAAACGCTTAACAATCCCAATGCCAACAGCAATCCACGCTTCAAGTTAGGTGATCAAGAGAAACCATCTCTTTATAGACTGCAACAAGGAGTTTTAGTCCAAGGAGTGTGTCATTACTGTAGACTGCTTTTCCATTTTTTACCTTTTCCCCTTCCATTAAATTTGCAGGAGTAATTCATAATTTATGAGAGCTCACGAAATCTGCAAGCAGCTTAAAGTAGTTTGGCTAGATGGATGAAGAGACAAATCAGGGCTTGTTCGCAAGAGAATTCTGATACAGAGAAAATGCTTGTTCTGGATGCACATCTTGTTCTGGATACATCTCCCCATAAGCACCAGGTCTGTAGCTTATGAGTGATCCTGGACCCAGCATTGTCTCTGAATCTCCAGGCAATAGCTGCGGCCAGGGATGAATTTTCTTTTCAGCTTCAGCTGAAAACTGTGTTCTTTTCTGGAAAATTAGGACCTGCCGATCACTGACTGACAAGGCCTAATAATCTCCAGTTGGTTACTATAATGTATAGTATGTATGACTGCCAAAGGCAGGCTCCAGATTTGAGGTGGCCCTGGGAAAGGTGTCCTTTGATCTCCTCCATGAATGGGCCTTGACAGCACACTACCAGTAGCACTGAATGGTCTCGCCACCATTTAAACTTATCGGTGTCCTGGATTGCTCCTATGTCACATTGTGAGAAATTAAGATGGTGGTCACATACAGCTGCCCAAGGCACTCAGTTTATTTATTTGGAGCAGAGGGGCATTGCAGGCATCAGTGGTGGTCCCTTTGGCAGACTGCCAGTTGCCCAAGCATGCCAGCCCTGAAAGTAAAAGATGCAGCAGGTCTGGAACAATCACCTTCAACCTTTTCAGAACCAGGGCCTCTTTAATTTAAATTTATTGATTTTTTAAAATTATGTATTTGTTAGGTGGTAGTGCTGCTATTGTGACCCACTTTAGATCAGGCTGCGGCCTATTTGTGGGACCCGACCCACCCATTGAAGAGAGAGGTAGCACAGCTACATAATGCCAGTCCTTCCCCCCTTTTTTTCTTTTGAGAATTATGGGTTACATATTTGTGTTCAGGTTAAGTTCAAGATACTTGGGTTTTTTTTATTTGCAAAACCCTAAAGTCTGGGGTACATTAGCAAATGCCTTATTTGGTATGTACTACAACCCTCTATGGACGCGGGTGGTGCTGTGGGTAAAACCTCAGTGCCTAGAACCTGCCAATCGTATGGTCGGCAGTTCGAATCCCCGTGGCGGGGTGAGCTCCCGTCCTTCGGTCCCAGCTCCTGCCCACCTAGCAGTTCGAAAGCACCCTTAAGTGCAAGTAGATAAATAGGTACCGCTTTATAGCGGGAAGGTAAATGGCATTTCCGTGCGCTGCGCTGGTGCTGGCTCGCCAGAGCAGCTTCGTCACGCTGGCCACGTGACCCGGAAGTGTCTCCGGACAGCGCTGGCCCCCAGACTCTTAAGTGAGATGGGCGCACAACCCTAGAGTCGGATACGACTGGCCCGTACAGGCAGGGGTACCTTTACCTTTAACTTTTTACAACCCTCTATGAGACATGTGGGACTCCACTGCCTTCAATGATGGAGTGATGTAGAAGATAGGGCTTAGTCTGTAGAGACACCTGTTTCTGGGATCTCCCTCCCTAGGCTCAGCACCATCAAAATTTTTAAAGATTGATGAGAACTCACATCTCTTGCCAGGATTATTGAAGTTTCAAGGAAGGAAGGAAGGAAGGAAGGAAGGAAGGAAGGAAGGAAGATCTGCTGCAATTTCAATCCTTTTCGAGTTATATCACAGCAAACTGATTTCTTTAAATTCTTTATATTTTCTTTTAATTTATTTAAGGATAAGGAGCTTTGTGGGATCTTTCTTTGCAGAACACTGCCCTATTGATTCAGATATAAATACATAAATGCTTTCCATCTACGGAAATAAATAAAAAAGAACTAGGGCATCTGCATTCATTTCTATGATGATTAAAAAAAAATGTTTTAAAAAAGCAAGTGGGTGAACTCCAGCAGATGCGGACTAAATATAGCCATGTCAGAATATAGATGCCATGGGTTTTGCTCCATACTGAGCTGGTGAATCCAGAATAAGTTATCTTAAAGCAAAACCACTCTGGGAGGCAGTGATTCACTTCTATGGGAAGGGCTTGCAATCCAGCCAAGGTGCCCCCTAACAGAAGGGTGGGTGATTTTGCCAGCCCCCCCTCTTCCAACAGCCTCCATTTCTGGAGGGTTCCTCAATTGGAGAAGCTCTTTAGGATGCACTAAGGGGTGCAGGGAGAGGGGAAACTGGCAAAAAATCCCTCACTATTCAATGAATGAATGAATGAATGAACGAATCTGCTTTATTGGCATAGAAAAAGTGCATTGTATACATGGATCAGAACAGAACACACTTAACAAAACATAGTGGGAGATACTTTAGGATAAAACGGTTCCAACATCATGAGGTACAAAAATGGCTTAGGACCTTTGGTGACATAATTTCATGGCATCACTAGAAAATCTTGCCACATTCTCCATAACGTCATTACAGTGGACCCTCCGGATATGCATTAAATTCGTTCTGGGGGTCCGTCCGCAACCCAAAAAGTCCGTAGGCAGAGGCGCCGCTTCTGCGCATGCACATGGTGCGATTGAGCACTTCTGCGCATGCATGTGTGGCAAAACTCGGAAGTATACACTTCCGGGTTTGCCACGCTGGTAACCCGAAAGTTACATATCCAGAGCGGTACGTAACTAGAGGGTCCACTGTACTACAATAGTTCAGCAGGAAGAGTCAGTGCAATAAATCCCCTCCTTCAATAAGGGGGCCAAATACTTATCATATATTTGTGCATAAAATGGGCAACAAAACAAAATGTGTGGCCTCACTATTCATTAGTGGCTACCTCTGGTCCAGGCCCTCTCAGAGGTTCAGAGAGGTCTGGACCACTTCCAAATTTGAGGCCCACAGCTGCCATAATAATAATAATAGTAATAAAAATTTTAAACTGAGGCATGCCTCCTGACAGCCCTTGCAGGAGATGACTGTAAAGGAGGAGGTGTGAGCAACCTTGGGAAAACTCAGTTCTGGTTCAAATGAAGGCCTTCTGAGAGGTGATGTCCTTCAATGAAAAGCACTTAGCCACAATGAAACAATTTGACCTCTATTCCTGTGGCCATAGCAATGCATTTGTTTACTACTGACAGTAGCCTTGGGATTTTTTATTGTGTCATGCTCAGTGCACAAACATGAGAGGAGTTTGAGGGTCTGAGGAAAAGTTGAATGCTGGGGAATTTCCACCTTGTTATGTGATTAAGGTTTGATTCAGCTCAGCCTCCTACAGGATTGCCATAGAAACAACACTTGAAAGTATTTTGTTCTTCTCAGAGAAACATCTCCAGCTCTTGAAAGGCAATTTATAGTTACTGATCTTGTCCCCAACTCATTTCCTTTTGGTTTAGTCATGCTGCTAAATCCATGGGAAGTTTTTTTGCACTAGTAGTTTTGCTTTCTGAACATGCTGTGCTACAAAATATTGCAGCCTAATCTCCATCTAATTATTAAGCTGAAGTCTGTCATAGACATGACTGAAATTGTGATGGAGCACATGAATAAAGGGGGTGGGAGGTGAAGGTTATGCCCTATGGAGGGGGGAATTTTCCCATATTGTTCAGCTAGCACAACCTGGATTGGCTTCAGTAAGTAACTAGACTTAAAAGAGATGCATTGAATAAGGTTAAAATTAGATATGCATTTAATATGTGTGTCACAGCTGATCCTGCATTAGGTCTGTGAGCAACTTCATAGGAGAGGTGTATCCTGGCTACTGCCAGGAAATGTAATGTTGTTAATGCAAATCTTGTTATATATGTAGCACTGAAATGTTGTGGTTTTGTATGTTATCGTATTTGCTATGATGTTGCTGCTTTATTTATATATTTATTATTAATTACGTGTGTGTGTGTGTGTGTGTGTGTATGCACACATAGTCTCTGTTGGCAGGACCTCAGTTGCACAGGGTTCCTGACTGTGTCCCATTGTCTAATACCCATTGATTTGTCATAGTGTTTGAAAGGAAAGCTTGCAACACTTCTGCATCTGGGATTCCCAACTGAGTGAAGAACCTATGTGTGCATAAAGGTAAAGGTAAAGGGACCCCTGACCATTAGGTCCAGTCGTGACCGACTCTGGGGTTGCGAGGGAGCCGGCGTACAGCTTCCGGGTCATGTGGCCAGCATGACTAAGCTGCTTCTGGCGAACCAGAGCAGCGCATGGAAATGCCGTTTACCTTCCCGCCAGAGCGGTACCTATTTATCTACTTGCACTTTGACGTGCTTTCGAACTGCTAGGTTGGCAGGAGCAGGGACAGAGCAACGGGAGCTCACCCCGTTGCGGGGATTCAAACCGCCGACCTTCTGATCGGCAAGTCCTAGGCTCTGTGGTTTAACTCACAGCGCTACCCGCATCCCCAATGCAACTATGTGTGCATAGTTCCTCTTTAATATGTCATATGGACACCAGGAGGAGGGCAGCAGAGTGCACAGTGTTATGGGCAGGGCTGGTGAGCACACCCCTGCTCCCCATTCCATGCACTGAATGCACTTGTGGATATAAGGTTATTTCACCATTTACCTCACTGTGCCAAGGGTTAGGATCTGGTACAACACTTATCATCCCGCCAAGATGCCACAAGAGTTTTACAACACATCAGGTACAAATGTGGTAAATTGTGGAGCAAAATGGTTGTGTCTTTCTACCAAAATCACCCCTTTCCCCTTCTTTTTCCTATTATTCTACTTTTTTTAAATTTTGCAAATTACAACAGGAGACAAAAAAAACTCCACACAATGGCTGTGCTCTGCCTCCACGGTTGGAGGCAACAATGCTTATGAATACCAGTTGCAGCAAATTACAGGAGAGAGCACTCAAATCCTACTTTCCCAGAGGTATCTGGTCAGCCACTGTGAGAACAGGATGCTGGTCTAGATGGGCCACAGGCTGGATCCAGCAGGCTCTTATGTTTGCAAGCAAACAACAACAAAAGCACTAAAACTGTATGGAACACAAAATCTAGCAAAAGACAAAACAATTACAATATTTAATTTTTTTCATTTGACAAGTCCGTACAATAGACAAGTACAATAATTCCTTAGTTTAAGGAAATGCCTCATTGCATAGGAAATATTTCAAAATACCCTTCTGTTCTATCCCTGAGCCTTTGTAACTATTCCTGTTACAACAGCTCATTCCCAAACCCACAAATGTAAAATCCCTGGTAGACAAATTGCTGACTGAGAATAGAATCCAATGTCTACAAAGGGCTTTGAGAGTCCCTTCCAAGTCAGTTTCATTTTTTGCTTGAGCAGAGACTGCTGCAGAGAGCCCTGCCTTATTTAAATAGGAAATTAAAAGTCACTATGGGTCCTCACAGAACATGTGACTGTTCTGTGTGCCTTCTGCGCAAGTTTCTTGCATGGACACGCAGGACAATTTTGTCCTTTCCAAGCACTACAATTCTCACATAATCCAATAATCAACACTGGAGACAGTCACTGCTTCGTGGCTGTTGGTTTTATGCTTCTGCTGGCTGGTTGTTTGCCTTGGTTAATTGAGAAAAGTGACTCTGCTGGGCTTGTCTGCATTTTCTGTGCAGCTGTGCACAAAGAAGTGTAATGCACTGGAAGGAAAGGAAAGGACTGGGTTGATATTTGCAGCCACTGATATGGTATTTTCCTCCCTGCTCAAGCAGACAATCATTTTTGAATATTCACGGCAGCTTAAGAACCCAATAGCAACCACAACCACATCTGCTAAAAGTACTTGGTTGAAAGGTTAGGAAAGAGCTGGTCATTTCTGTGCAGAGAGTTCTGACCCACCACTTAAAACATTATCCCAGTCCAACCAAAAACTTCATATGCTCAGAATGTAAAACCCATTAAGAATTTCACAACAATTCCGTTGCCATCAAGGCAGTGATTTTTCATGGATCCTACTTACAAAGTACAGGGGAGGGGGCGGCTAAACACATTTACCTGGGATTACGTACTAGTTGTGCACTTTAAAAGCACAAACCCCTTTGCTTAAAAGGAGGCAAAAAGAGTTTGTCATGCATGCTTTAATTGAGATTCCTGACCCTCGGATTCCTTTCCAACTCTAAAATCCAACGATTCTAACCCTTTACACACCATACCACACACATACCTGCTCTAGACCAGAGATATAACAGCAGAGCTATGCGTCATCTCCCGAGCTACTGAATTACACACAGTTGTCCACTGCAGTACAAATTCTCCACTGTCTCTTAAATTTAAAAATAAAGCATTTCCCTTGAGCGCTCTTGGCCCACTTCAGATGGGCTCTCTTCTATGGTCTCATTATCAGGAAAAAGACTCTGAAGTGCCCCTGGGCTGGTGTTTGCAGTGCATCCTCAGGAGGCATGACAAGCGATACTTTCTGAAAGGAACTGAGATAGGAAGGACATAATAAAGCCAGCACTTACAGCAATTACAAGACACAAAAGAAAGGGCACATGGAAATAAAGTGGATTAAGAAGAAAAATGGATTCTTGTAAATTACCCCCGGGTATTCATAATACAACTGGAAACTAAGTTGTAAAAGGCGAAATGACTATAAACATCAATACAGAACACAATCACAGTGTCTATGAGGAACCTCATCTGGTCTTTGAACAATGCCTCACTGGCAAAACAGTCTGGGAAGCATCAGATGACCTAACGCATGACACCTGGATCATCACCCTGTTGTGGTGAGTGGGCTTGCATGTTCCTATGACCCTTGTGAGCAAAGCCATTAGGAATCTCACACTCCCAGCAGGGTCACCCAAGGTGGTAAGGTCAAAGGGAAGGAGTTAGACAAATAATGATCCAAGAAGTCCTCAGCGGCAGAGCAGGTGGATGATAACAAGTGGTATGTTACAACAGCTGTGAAGGTGGATGAAGGCTGCAGCAGATAGGAATCTACTGGTTTGATGTGACTACTTCATGCCATCAGAACAGAGCCCTACTGCGAAGACTGTGCGTTGGTCAGTGTGCACTGATCTACACACATAAAACAAATTCATGCACAGGCGTCTTCCAAAAACCCAACCCAAACCCCAAAAGTCCCATGGCAATCGGCAATTCGTAACGGGGGCAGGATCATGAACCAGCACATGGGCGGTGGATACAGATTCAGTCGTTCTGACTCAAGGAACGAAGCAGTTGAGCAGCTTGGCAGCTGTATCCATGACTGAGCAGCCCTTTTTAGGATCCACTTTGCCCTAAACATAGTCTGCCTCCCTTTTTCCCTGACTGGATTACTGCCCAGTGGGGTCACCACCTAGCGGCCGTAAAAGACAAATGAACTTTGGAACATGGAAAATACGAACTTTGTCAGATAACACAGACAGTGAGCATCCTGAGCGCAGAACTGCCATCATTGCAAGAGAGCTGCGACGTTTTAATATTGATATTGCAGCGCTTCAAGAGACTCAAAGAGCAGGCAAGGAACAACTGAAGGAAGAAAAAGGAGGCTACACATTCTTCTGGAAAGGTCTATCTGAACAAGAACATCAAATACACGGGGCAGGCTTCCCTATCAAAAACGACCTTGTGAAGCTCCTGTCAGAAGTCCCTACTGGCATTAATGAGCGACTCTCAACCCTTCGAATAAAGCTCACCCAAAACCAGCAGGCTACTATTATAAGTGCTTATGCACCAACACTGGATGCCAATGAAGACATTAAAGAAAAATTTTACTCTCAGCTGGATACCGTCCTATCAGAGACACCTAAGGAAGATAAAATTATCCTCCTGGGTGATTTTAATGCAAGAGTTGGGTGAGATTTCGATCTGTGGCCTGGGACTACTGGAAAAGAAGGAGTTGGCAGCAGCAACCAGAACAAAATCTTACTTTTGACGATATGTGCAGAGCACACCCTTGTTATTACCAACACACTCTTTCAACAGAAAAATAAATTAAAAACTTCATGGAGGCATCCTCAGTGAAACCGCTGGCACCTCTTAGACTATGTCATTGTCCGTGCTAAAGATCGCCATGATGTGCTCCTTACCAGAGTTATGACGAGCCTGACGACTGCTGGACAGATCACTGACTAATACGCTCCATGATGGCTATCAAGATTATACCTCCATGCAGGCTTCAAGGAAGGAAACCAAGGCGCAAAATGAACACTCAAGCCCTTCAAGATCCCATTAAGTGGGATTGCTTCCAAACGACTCTTAAGGACCATCTGCTTTCAGAATTCCCTGATAATATCGAGGAACACTGGACAAAGCTATAAACATCCATTATTGCAGCCTGTGAACAGTGGACATGATTTTCACCACTTGACAGCTTCAAGAAAAATGCAGAGAGCAAAACTAACCCCTGTATATGGCGTTTATTGACCTGACTAAGGCTTTTGACACTGTAAATTGTAATGCCCTGTGGACTGTCCTTCTGAAAATTGGCTGCCCAGATAAGTTTGTAAACATCATTTGGCTCCTCCATGATAATATGACAGCAACAATTGCAGATAACAATGGCTCTCAAAGTGAACCATTCACAGTGGGATCAGGTGTTAAACAGGGTTGTGTTATTGCCCCAACTCTAATCATTATTTTCATTGCCGTGATCCTACATTTTGTCAAAGGGAAACTCCCCACCAGAGTAGAAATCATATATTGAACAGATGGAAAGCTCTTCAATCTGAGCAGGCTGAAAGCAAAGAGTAAGGTTACCGTAACTTCCGTCATAGAGCTTCAGCATGCTGATGACAATGTAGTGTGCGCACGCGCAGAGGATGACCTCCAAACCATCCTAAACATCTTTGCAGAAGCTTACGAAAAGCTTGTCCTATCACTCAACATTCAAAAAACCAAAGTGCTGCACCAAGAAGTACAAAATAATCCCTCTGCAGCGCCAGAAATCAAAACTCAATGGTGTAAGGTTGGAAAACATCAATCACTTGTCCTACCTAGGCAGTTATCTTTCCACAAGGGCCAACATTGATGCCAAAATCCAGCATTGCCTGAGCTCTGCAAGTGCGGCTTTCTCCCGATTGCAGTGCAGAGTGTTTGAGGACTGGGACATTCACAGGGAAACCAAAATGCTTGTTTACAAAGCTATTGTACTGCCAACCTCACTATATGCTTGTGAAACATGGACCACTTATAAACGCCATCTCCAGCTCCTCGAAAGATTCCATCAACGGTGTCTCCAAAAAGTTTTACACATCACTTGGGAAGACAGGCAAACTAATATCAGTGTACTGGAAGACGCAAAGATCACCAGTGTTGAAGCAATGATTCTTCAACATCAACTTCGTTGGACTGGTCATGTTGTGCGGATGCCTGATGATTGTCTTCCAAAGCAACTACTCTATTCCGAACCTAAAAATGGAAAGCATAATGCTGGTGGTCAACAAAAGAGGTTTAAAGACTGTCTCAAGGCAAATCTAAAAAAAATGTAGTATAAACACTGACAGCTGGGAAACACTGGCCTGCGATCGCTCCAGTTAGAAAACAGCCTTTACCAAGGGTGTCATGGGCTTTGAAGACACTTGAACTCAGGACGCAAGGGAGAAATGTGCTAAGAGGAAGGCATGCTTGGCAAATCCACACGGTGATCAACTCCTGCTCAGAAATCAATGTCCCCACTGTGGAAGAACATGTGGATCCAGAATTGGCCTCCACAGTCACTTACGGACTCACTGTTAAAACCATGTTTATGGAAGACAATCTTACTTGGCTACGAGTGATCGCCAAAAAAGAAAGAAGCTCTGCTGACAGTTGCATCCCCTCTCTTCTCATGCATTGCCTCTCTTTGAAAGTAACCTAGCCGGTTAAATCCATGCAGTTAATTTGTCCCACAACCCACTCAAAGCAATGGAGTGCCATCATAATTCAATCCCTTCCCATACAACAGTCAGAAATCTGATACGGTACACAAAATCTGGCCTGATTAGGCATATTGACAATCTAGGCTTAAACTACTTTAATAGCCAGTCCCTCACCCAAGAGAACATTGGGAACTGCAATTCTGTCTGGGAGACTGTTAAGGCAGCTATTTCCATTCTGACCTGCATTTGCCACAATCTGCACTGTTTCTGTCCTACTGCAGTTTTACTTCCACCAAGTACTATGCCATTCATCTCCTTGTCGACTGCTTAATATTAAGTTACACAATTGGTGTAATTGATTACATAACTTACATTCATTTCAATGTAAAGGAAGCATCAAAACAATATAAAAAAGTCATTAATTGTGGGCTTACAAACAATTATTTGAACAAATACCAGTCATATTTGCTTCACTGATTTCCATTCCTGACTGTAGAAGAATGCACAAACTGCAACAATTTCCACTTCCTTTTCCATTGTCAGAATTCTCTGGCTATCTGAAGTTGAATAGAGAATTCTTAGGGTGTTAGGGGGAGGATCCTTGACAACTGAATGCTAACTGCAATGCCCTTTATTTTAAAACAAGACTTTTAATCTTTTCTCTCTTTTTGCTTCGCTACTCTTAAAAAGAAAAGATTGAGCAACCATGTTATCTTGTAAGTCTCAGGGCTCCATCTCTTACACAGTAATACATAGATTGTTACAGCTTCATTTGGCAATGGTCAGTTAGATTTCAGGCTTGTCCATTGTGCATCAATTAGACAGCAACCAAGATAATGTGCTCATTTATAAACAATAGGGAACTGACTTCAGTGCATTTCTTCTCACTTTACTATGCTTAATTTTCTCTCTTTTTCTGGTTCTCCGCTAAAGAATTTGCTCTTTAGATGGCAAAAAATACCACAGTGAAGAAATCAGTTTAATGTAGTTGTATACTGGATATTGAACATCTTACATGGTATTCTCTCTGAAAAAGGCACAAAACAGCCTATGAGCACGCAATGTGTAAACCATGTGTGTTCTTTAATCTGCTGTTCATCAGACCTGTTCGGGCTTTTATCACAATCGTAATTGTTCTGGAAAACAATGGGCAATCCATTCTTTCTGTGCTGGCTTTGTTTTAATTCTCTTTGCCATTCTACCATAGCTCTATTCAGGAGCAGCTCACTCAGTGGGGCAGAGTTGCACCAACAGTCTTCTGACAGCAGCATCACTATTGCATACTGAGAGGGGGAAGGATAAGGTGAGAACAATTAGGGCTATGAGGATGCACTGACAAGAGTGCTGGATTGACTTTGTGGGTGTGTCCACATAGGCTCAACCACACTGCTGCTTCCCCACTCTCCTTCCTGGTGTGTGGCAGCAATCCTGCTGTCAGGAGACTACTGGTGTGGTTATATTGCTGAGCAAGCCAGAGCGTGGGACTGCACTTGCTGCTCCCACCCCTTCTGTTGCATTCTTGTCTCCACCTTCCATACATTGGCGTTCAGAGGTCTGAAGCTGGGAGGTCACACAGGATTCTAAATCACTTGGGGAGCCTACAAATATATAGCAGGCAATTTTCCCCTACAAATTATTATAGACAGTAACAGGACTACACTGGACCTTCCTCTCCCACGTGCATCTGGAATCACAGAAAGGAAACATTTCAGTATCTGTTTTATTCTATTTATTTAGACAATTCACATATCACTTATATTTGAGTGGGAGAGAGAAACCTAACTCATTTGCAAGCTATCTTAATGAAAGATAAAGATCAAATGACGATTTTTTTTAAACTAGAAAAATCCCAGTTTACAACTATCAATTTAAGTAACAGAATAAAACTCATGCAGTGGATGAAATACAATCTAGATATCACCTTGTAGCACACAATCACCTAATTCCATCCATCTTCCCCAAAGAGAATAAATGCCTTTAATGTCAGACATAAACACTCATTTCTCACTTTCCACCTTTCAGACAGTCATGCTACAGGTATCATCAACTGTGGGGTGGGCTGGAAATGAAGTCACAGTCACACATACACAACATGTTCAGGCCACATTATTATTCTTCAGAATAATATACTTCTGCTTATTATTAAGTACAAAATATTACAACAACAAAAGAGCCTTTGCATAGTTGACTTCACACATTTAGTCTAGGTGTGGAGAGGAAAACGGAGACATGGGGATGTGGGTGTTGTGCCTAGTGACAAATAGAGGCTTCCTTTTCAGACATTGTCCCAGTAGCAGACACCACAGTGGGGCTGTGTTGCTTACCTAACCTCCCTCCCCCTGAGTCGCTGCTGCATACCAGGATGGACAAGGGATGGGGAGGGGCAAGCTGGTGGTGAGATCAACATGGTACAAGCCCAACAGTGGAATCAGTCTGGTGCTGCTGCCAGTGTGTTTGCAATGCTGCTGCATGTTTCAAATGTATGGACCAGTGCCGTGCCAAAAATCTGTTCTTGCCAGTTTTCTCCACCTGCAAAAGAGGCTCTGGATTTTCTGCCTCTTTCCCAAGGTACTTTAGAATTTTGTTGAATGTAGGACTGGGCTTTCTTTACCACTGCAAGGTGGCTGCGGATGGTGTGTGTCATTTTTCTTCCTGTTACACACTTCTTCAGCACTCTGCAGCCTACCCATCTGCCTGTGCTTCCCAGTCTCAAAAAGGCTGATGGCCCATGATGTCTTTCAAAGGGTTTTAACTGACGTATGGGAGAAAGCTGTTAGACACCTGAGCAGTGCACTCACCTACTTTTACTTAAAAAAAAAAAAAATGATACTGCAGATTTATTTCCAACTAAAAAAGTTCACTTAAAAAAAACAAAACAATGAGCACTGGTCAGGCACATAGCAGGCAGCACAGCTACATTTTGCATTTACAAGAAACTCCAGACAAGCATGGCTTGCGGTTTACAGGAAGTGTAGGCACCTAGTGCAGAGTGCCAGACAGATGATTTAAAGAATGAATATGGGACAAAGATGGGGTCCTGTCCCTCTCTCTACAGTGTGTAGACAAAATGCTGGGCAGTGGCTGTATGAAATGCTCGCAACTATTTGTATCCAATGCGATTCCTGCTGAGACACATTCCAATTAATAGACATGAGGTAGTTCTGTTATTTTCAGTGGATTTACAATGAGTAGGATTTAGTCGGCCAAAGTCCATTGACTCCGCTGTATGAATAGAGCGTTGCTGTTGCTGCTGTTGTTTAATCCTGAAGATGTCCA